AAGGGGGTGGAAATTGCTTTGCCCCAATATCCAGAAATGTTCAGAAGGGTCGAAAGTACAACTGTACCAAATTTCAGGTTGCGGCCACAAAATGCCAAGTTTGGCCGTTTTTTGACCGTAAACCACCCGACTACAGGGTCGGGTCGCAAGACTTGCCGCCGCCGCCACCACCGCCCCACTGCACGTCCATGTCCGAATACGTGGCGCTGTGAGCCGCGACCGGGCAGCGCTAGGCGCTAGCTATCGATATCCTTTCTTCGCGGGCTGCAACGGGGTAGCGCCGCTCGGGTAGGCAAACCCGCTCCTCGCGCCTGCGTGGCGGGCTGCCTACCTCAGGGTGCTCAGTTCTCTGCTAACCGCTGGGGGAGGGGAGAGGGCATTCCCCATGGTGCCGAGGAGCGCGACCGCCCCCTTGCACTCCTGAGACATCTAGAACTTAATTTCACTTCAATGCAATGAACAAAATACTTTACTTTGACAATCAATAAAATGCCTTATCTTTTCGAGTAAAAGAGACCATAATTATGGTTATAACCAGGACTAATAAAAATGGCTAATTGAGGCCGCGTAAATAAAGGACAAGCTGACCGAGTGCGTGCCCGTGGAGTACAGTACAGTGTTAGCAGAAGAGAGACACCCCGCGCCGGTCGCCGGCCGTCGTACACCCCGGGGCCCCGGGGACGCACCGAGGGACGCACCCCAGAGAGAAACAGGATATCGAAACGATATCGGAACGACGTCGGAAAGGCGAAATCGACATAGTTACGATATCGTTTCGATATCGTTTCGACGTCATTCTGACAAGCATTCCTCACTGGGACCCCAGAGCGGGCCCGCGGCGTGCGCCGCGCACCAGGAAGACGACGCCCTGTTTCGCCTACACGACGCGGTCGCTGCCACGCACTTTACTGCGCGGTCACTACCTTGCCGCCCCGTGACCTCCGCGCCCGTGACCCCGGCCAGGAAGATATCCAGTTAGCATCTTCCTCGATGCCCGGTGCCGTTCCGGTGCCGAATCTGTGGTGCGATGCGGATCCGTGATGTGACGCTTGGTGCGATGGGTGACACGACCGTGCGAGGTGCATCCCGCGTTAGGATGCTC